CGCTCCACTTGCAGGAATAATGCCAGTAAATTATAAAGCTTGTATTTTGACTCCATCGTATATTATCATGGGCGTGTGTAGCGGTATGCTCTCAAACTACAATTGAGATGGTTTTGAACAAGTACCTTGATTATCTTAACATGTAATGTCTAGATATATCACTTTTGAATCTGTGACTTAAAGTTTTGTGACATTCTTGCCATTTGCAATCATTGAAGTTCACTTTGACAGTTAGTTTTACATGTAAATGTTCGAGAAGGACAGAAATTTTCTTTGTATTTCTGGGCAAAGGATAGCCTACTTATTTTGCATTATATATCTGATTGTTAAGATGATAATTTATTTTACATATTGTTGAGGACATAATATGGTTTTTACCATGTATTTTCATACAGGTCATCTATATTGGACTTGGTCATATGCTTGATGTTTGAGCACTGTTTGTAGCCTTAAGAGTAGTTTAAGGCATCTGCTCGCTTTGAGTTCGGGTTCGCCCATGCCACTAACTAAGTTGCTCTTTGTTTTACCATTAGTCCATTGTGTATTGTATTACATGAAGGGTTTTGTATATGTTCGTTATTAGAGGATACTTCAGAGGTGGTAGTGTCTGTAATATGTAATTTTTCACATTTTGAAGTAACGTTCTCAAGTTAACACCTCAAAAATGTCTTATTCTGATTTATAAGATATTGATATTTGATTTGATAGTTAAGTCACCATCCGGGACGTATGGTGTTCAAGCAGGGAACGTGTAGGGATCTGGGAATTCCCCTTTAAGAAGTTACGTACGCGCCATAAGCACGATGACGTCACTGACTCGTGGTTGCTAAGTGCGTTCGGCAACTACATAGTTACAACAAAAACGTTCTTATAATTTCTCAAACTTTATTCTTACTATTTTATTGGGCATGTATAAGTTGGCAAAATACATTTATAGTTTTCTCATAATATTAGATCACTCCTGAAATATGATATTTTACTAAAGTAAATCTGGGTTTTTGTGCTTCGGACTTCTTCGGGCTTTTCCGGAAGTAAGTGGCCTACGTGCAGGATTGACACGTCCTGTTCCTTTTTCTTCGGACCATGCCGTTGCATGATGTGAGCCAAATTCACATCAAAAACCATCTTTTGCGAGCTAAAATCTGAAGGCCCATATCTGAACAGCCCACCAACTGAAGTGAAGTGCTGTATAGCTGCTTTTAGAGTCATTTAAGGAAAGATTTGAAGACGTCGGGGTGAGAATTTAAGGCATTTCTTTCGACACATTTTGTACCGAAATTGTAAACAAACTGAAGGTACATGTACGTGTATTGTACGTATAGTGTGTACGCTGTGACATGCAAACTTTAATACACAGCGTCTGCTTTTCTATTTCATTGTACAGGGTTTTTATATTCCATTGAAATATTGTATCTCAACTGGATCATCAATAAATCAACCAATCAACTAATGACAGAGACCGATGATGATTGTCCACGCTTGGTGATTGCCTCCCATCCTCCTTAACTGGTGGACGAGTCTCCCCCCTCTGAATAAGACAGCAGGGCCGACCACTACAGTAATATGACCATTTATGATATAATATTGTATGACCATATTGTATGACCATCAGAAAAATGGGAACATTTAAGACCCGATCCTTTTTTATTGTTTGCGTCAAATTTAACACGAGCACATAAGCTTAAACGTGATGTAACAGGACTGGTATTTCTGCTGCCACCAAGCGTCTCAAAAGTCCCCATTTTGAGTTTCCCCAATGAAATAAGCAATGGTTGCGTGGTACTGATGAAACCTCTCCCCTGTCCGTCTCACCATTCCCCTTCACCACATCGATAGAACAACAGCCAAAGCTAAGAAAACTCTGGGCTTCCTACGTCGTCGTAACCTGTACTCATGATAAAAAAAATATCAAAGACATAGCGTACAAGACACTCGTACGGCCAATACTTATACTTGACTTCTGCTCTTCTGTGTGGGACCCACACACAACAATCCTCACCGACAAGGTCGAAGCAGTTCAAAATAGAGCAGCTCGGTTTGTCACAGGGGTATACAGCAGAGGGAGCAGCGTCACTGCCATTAAAAAGCTACCAGGCGGAAAGTTGCCCGACTCAAGAACTTCCATCAAACACTAGGGGGTCGACTCGCCATTCCCGCAAGAAACATCCTGCGCCCGGTCCAACGGTCTACCAGACAAACTTCACCTACCACCAACAACTTCATACCAATCCGAGCAAACAAAAACTGCTACAAGCAATAATTTCTCCCACGCACATTAGTGGACCGAAACTTACTGCCTAAAGAGATTACAGCAATTCAGGATAAAGGAAGTTTCAAATCTGCCATCAATACTCACTTTAATATCATCTGTGAGAAAGTAGAAACCAAGTCAACCAACCAAACAGCAAAGCAACAAATCCATGCGCACAACCAACCCTGCCTTTGTGACCCCTGAGAAGGGGTGTTGGTGCAGTTTTCATCAAGACAAGACAAGACAAGGAATGCACACCGACTTGTGGGGTACCGTTTTGGCAGGCGCGGTTCTAGAACCAATATTTTGGGGGGCTAGCACGGTGGATCCAGAATTTTTTCAGGGAGGCGTGCTGAAATGTTGACCGGTATTTTTTTCCAGACACTTAGGCCTCCGAAAATCAATAGGGGGAGGGGGGGGGGGGAGGGGGGGGGGGGGGGGGGCTCATGCCATATTTTCAATGGGGAGCGCCAATAAAATCCTAAAATCATTCACACTATATTAACTAATGCACCCTTGTCACGGCTATTTCTTCTTTAGGGGGACACCGTTCGCATGTACATCACAATCCTTCTTTTTGCTAATGCAATTTTTTTTTTACAGAATTTATTTTGGGGGGGGGCTAGACTAAATTTTGGGCCCACCCCCTAGCCCCTCCGTAGAACCGCGCCTGCGTTTTGGTACCCCACAAGTTTTTGACGAAATAAATATATGGATTTTACTCAAAAACTTGGAATTTCCATGGTTGGTTGATCCGTCGCAAATGAGAGTTCTAGAAAAGGTATATTAAGTCCGAATTTCAGCCCAGAAAATTAATTCTGGTTAAAATAAGAGCATTTTGAAATTAGTGTGCGACATTGCCCACTTCTATGCCTGTGTAAGGGTGTTTGCGTTTGTTTATGGTGTAAATCGAAAACACACACGAGCAACGTCATCGATGAATTGAGGACAGGAACCAAATTGAGAATTAGAAAACTTGGATGTTGCTTGATGTGGTGAACATGTCAAACCCACACACACGAGCTTGCGGCGCTTTTTACTCCCGATCCTTGAATATTGTACTATTGAGTTTATGTAAATTGGGTGCTCGATGAGCAAAATTTTAAGCGCTGTTTCATGGTGGGAATAGTATTTTGAAGAGTTGGGTAAGTGTAGGTAGCCTATAGGCATATTTACTAAAAAAAGAAGAAGGAAAGAATATATTCGCAGTGGGATAAAACAATGGGGAGGGGAGGGGATATCGCCAATGGCCTCCAGTATCACCAAAGATATTTTGGTGACAAGGACCGCAGTTATAATTGATAGCACTTCATGTTATAACCCTTACTGAAGAGCATTATATACAACTTGAGCGATACTTTGATATCAGGTAATCAACATGGAAACGCTAGACACGGTGTAATAGAGTTGAAATCCCATCCGTTAAGCGAGCCCGCACTTAGTCTGGTTCCCTGACCTAGTGACCTGACAATTACCCTACACCTTGACGTCTATACTATTGTAGGTCAGCCGCCACCGGGCTAAAAGTAGACATTACGGGCCTTTTTAAAGCTCGGCTTCGTTTCCAGTTTGGCTTCATCACAGTTTTGTTTCATATACCATACACTACGAAAACATTGACTAATGTTATGCTGGAATTTTCAAAGTTAGGGACCCATATGGAAGGCAATGCCGAAATGGAGACCACGTCGAGTTTTGAAAACCTGGTAATCGTCGTCAGATTCAAGATAGTTCATGATTCAGCAAAGCTCGCCCCTCTCACGATCCGAGTGCATACTTTGATGCACAAAATCGTCATTGCCTTTTAAGTCTTTTAAATGAAAGCAACGAATATTTATTATTAACTCACTTATTACATTTTTTTATTAATAAGTATATATGGCAGGTAAATAAAATCTATTTTACACCCGGAAATACCCGGGCGCTATCTGAGAGTGTCGTCATTCGGCAAACTTCGGACATTTTCGGAAATGGGAGGCATTCCTCTTTTCCTTCCGTGGCGACTGCTTGACCTAAGATTCATCAAAAAAAGTCAGAACCTTTTAGTCTGGGAACCAGACTAGCTTGCACATTTTGTTCTCTCACCTACTTTATGGAAAGGAATTTGGGATTTCTGCATTTAGATTGATCGTCGAGCTTATTTACATATCCTACTTCTGCCGATCATTGTCGTCGCCAGACTCTCTTTTGTTGAGAGAAGGAGAGCCAACAGTATCAATGGCAGACAGTTATGAAATCAGATTGTTTGTACTTCAAATCACCGGGGATTTGGTTGGACATCTAAAGCACTGTTCAGAGTAGACGGGAATCGACGCAAATTGATTGGAGAGGGCGCTGTTCAGTGTGTCCGCTTGTGGTAAAAGACAGGTCGCGTCCGATTCGCGTGTATGGTAAAGTAATATTATTATCTTGATCTTCGACAATTAAATCTCTATGGGCAGATGCAGACGCTGATACTACGTGGGCAGACTTACTCTGAACACCCGTTACGAACACATTTAAACAATCATTTTTTTGCTGAAAAAAGTACATGTATAGGCCTACAGTGGGTTTCGCAGACAAACAAGGCAACAAAGAGGCGGGGGGGGGGGGGAGTTAGTGGAAAAGTCGGTTGGTGGGTCGATATGACACCAATTCTTTCGTCACCACTTACGACGCCCCTGTGGTCCGGTATGTGGGCCTAGCATGTGAAAGACCGCTTTTAGAGACATGCATATTAAGCAAATGTCAGAGCCATATGTTTGCTCACCTTCTTGACGCGAGCGGGCGACCTCGTACATGAGTCGGTGTGCTCGTTGCCTGCCGCCGCGACGGCGAATACTCCAGCCTTGATCAGTTTACTCACGGCCAGGTCCAGAGCCTCTGATGCCGCGCCACCGATAGACAAGGAGGCCACGGCCGGGAATTTAGCATTTGCAATCAGCCAGTCGATTCCTGAAAAATGGAGATGGAGTAAAAAAAGGTTGCAGAGCAAATAGTCCAATTAAAAAAAAGTCATCTTGTGAGGGGAAAAAATTATTTAAAAGTGATACGTGGACTCCAAATTATTAATACAGAAAACGTAACATTGTAAAACAAGCTTTAACTTAGTTCTATTGTATGTCTTGGACACGTTGGAGAGTATTTCCCCAATGTTGTATTAAGATTTATTTCTTCTAAGTATCCACCATTGGTGTCTATGGCAATCTCTTGACTGGTCCGAGTTCTTCACGTTCTTCCTCTGTAAGACTCTAATTAAGATTTTTGAATTTAACATCCTGCATTAACCTGCAGTTATTCACTTTGTCTTTCGTTGTTGATGAAAAACGGCTAACATTGCAAAGTTCTTTGGCCTTTGGAAAAGGAACAAAGTCTGGATGTTGACTTTTTCCTATGATAGGCTACGAATCCCATTTGTTTAAGCGAATAAACGAATTTTAAATTGGAAATGAAACCGAAGCATTCGGTACTAAGCCACTGTATGACACTGAGGACACTAAAGACAGCACTGAGGTCCTCGGTTTCAGTTCCAATTTGAAATGTGTCTTGGGTACAGACTTAAGTTTGCAGTTGTAAATCTTTAGATTTTTAAAATTCACATATGTTCTTCAAGAATGAACTCGACATTGCATTGCCTTTATGTGCACCCTGAAAATCACATCGTTGCACAGCGCCCTCATTCGTTTGAAACTGTGGCCTATATACCTTTGATGAGATCCGAGCATGACGCCTTGCCGTTGCACTTCATGGCTCGGATACCGAAGATGTTGGCTTTCTTTGCCACACCGGAGCGGGCGCCTGCCACAATTCCAGCACAGTGGGTCCCGTGGCCATGACAATCGTTACCCTGAAAACAATACAAAATAAAAGTAAATAATATCCTGTGGTGTAGATAGCAGGTGTTAATCGAATCAAATTTTCTGCTCTCTTAAAAAAAAAACCACTTGAAATGATTTTGTTTGAGTTCTAAGTTTTATAACAATGTGCTGAATACGCTGCATGTGACTATTTTGTTTTCGTAGCCTCTCTTATCAAAGAAATATCTTACGTCATCTCCATACACGTCATAAGCGATTTTGGCACGTCCTTCAAAGTCTTCGTGAGTTGTTCGTATACCAGTATCGATGACGTAGACGTTCACTCCCTCTCCAGCACCTAAAGGAATAAGAGAACAATACTTTTGTTTGATTTCTAACAAGAAATAATCTAGAAAACGTCCCCTAATAATACAGCTCACGGAAAAACTATTTCGTATTACACGTCAACAGGAAAGGTCATACTGTGATCAGTACGCGTATCCGGGATTTGGGTTAGGGGATTTGTGATTTGTCTGAAAAAAATCGGCCCCATTATTTTTCGTTCCGTCAAGATGGTTAAATGCTGGGGCAGGATCGGTATTAAAGAGGTGCTAGCGCTTTTCGCTTTCTGAGAGAACGGCAAAATGTCAAGGGGGAGTGTTGTCCACATCCCCGCCGCTTGATCGGTAACTGATTTAGATTCTGAGAGTTTCATTTTCAATGAATCATATGGATTTCAAAACTTTGATTGCAAACTCTGTAAAATATTTTATTTGTCACTGGCATTTTAAATTATTTTTTGTTGTTCTTCAATAAACATTTACTGCTTTTAGCATCTTCACCTACGTCGCTATGTAGGTCTAACACTTATAGGCCTGATATTCAACGAGGTTTTAAACAAGACACGATACCGTCCGGGTTGTAAACTCCATCCAGTGGCAGGCTGCGTTGATCCAATCGGTCTAGACCCCATGACTTAAGGGGAGCTGACAGGATCTCATCGTCGTTGAGGTTAAAGGGCAAGACCTTGACCCGACAGTCCTCCTCCAGGAACCGGACAGCGGGATTTTTACGAATCTGACGAAAACAGAATAACAGTGGAGGTTGTATATTGTTGGTGGTTATTGTCAATTTTGAAATAAGCCTATGACCAGACTAGACTACTTGCTTAGTTGAGCCAAAAGTCTTATTTTAGGACATTGTTTAAAGCCAGTGATCCAGTCAGTCGGTCAGTCTTTGACTCAGTAAGTCCGTCAATGTCTCAGTAAGTCACATGTCCATAGGCTGGCCAATCGCGTGCAGAAAAGAGTGAAACCAAGTAGAATGTTGACTAAGCACGATAAAACATAAATAGAAATGTATGCCGTACCCTTTGCTTGTACGCCTCAGACATTTCTGCAACGAAGCCGTTGAGGGCGTGATTAAATGTGTGAATAATTGTACAGTCAGAGTCGCCCAGGTCACGTTCTTGAAGTTTGAACTCCTCGGTAAACCTTTTTGCGGGAACGTCATCCTGTTATAAGTGAAAAGAAAAATCATTACACGGAACAGCCGTTGAATGCATTAATAGGTTTGATTTCATCCTTCTGGTTACCACTTCAGAAATATGTTCCGATCTCGAAATTTAAGTCTTGTTCGTTGACTTTAGCAAGGATATGTTGTTAGCTTGACCTGATTTTTTTTGTACAGTGGCAGTACTCTGGAGATATTGTTGCCATCAGCCTAGCAGAATTAGTTCGGAATTGTGAGGAAGTAATAGGTCACATACAGACATGTTTATCAAATTCCGAAAAGATTTCGGTTTCGTCAACAAAGAGCACAGAATTATGTTGTCAGGCGAAGTGCACTTCCCAGTTTCACTTGGTTGCTGATTGGGTTTCAATTAAATTAGGACCGTCTTTGATTGATCGTAATCACGAGGATCCTACGCGTGTGATTGATCATGATAGATCACAAGGCTAGCTTCAGTGAAGAATGTCGCTGTTGTGAGGATCATAAAAACGTGCCATACCACTTTTCCTCCTCGAAGTTAAGAACCAAATGCTCAGTGAACTCATACATTTTCACAACGAAGATTTGGTAAATGGGTTATGTGAAATTCAATAAATATCCTACACAGAGTTTAATAGGTCCATGAGTATGAACTTTATATGAACAAAATTGAAGAGGTGTAAACAAGTCACCAAGGTTGTACGTTCTAACTTTTCAAATGGACGAGTACAGGTTCCTGAGCTACAATGATCGAGGATAAATATGTACCTGAAATAATTATTGAATATAATTTATTTATTTTATATCTTCGGACAATGATTCAAAAATACATTTAAAGAAACACAAATGTACAGGTCAAAACTTAAGTTTGTAGAAACTGTCATAACGATGTGTCTGACCAAGTCAGACATTGATGACAGGTGCATAAGGGACACATCATGAAAGTAGGTTATTTTTTATCTGAACTTCGGCATCGTCTAAATGGCTGTGATATTTAAGACACAGACTCAGGAGACTTCGGCTCGACAGTGGTTCATTTTCTGATTTAGGAACATCAAATCCTATGAAGAATGGCACATTTTTAGTATATGTGTAATGTTATGTAGTCGAAGCAGAGGTTGCCAAAAAGATTTTTTAAGATTTACCTCCAGAACAACGATGTAGCGGTTGGGGGAGTAGGCCTCCTCCACCGTGTACACTGGTGCCTCGTCAGTCCACGCCGTAGTACCAGCTAAAATCATGAGCACGACTAGCAGAGAATGCATGGTCGAACGGGAAGGGTTGCCTAATTTAATGAACAGAAAAACTCCCATGCTTAAGTGCAAAAACACCCTTGGTTAAAAATGTAATTTGTTATAGTTATTCCAATCTAATATAGAGAGGTATGGCTTGAAAGGTTTTCCCTTGCAATTCATATGCATATGCATATTGGTTTTTCAGGAAATATGTCAACCATTAGTTTGCTAGAAGTCGGTTAACCCAAAGTATCAAAATGAGACAAAATTAAAACTGAAATTCTAATCAGATGAAAATATAATAGCAAACATGATTGTACTCTCATATTATATATGCATTGAAATTGTCAAAATTAAGTAATACAACAAAAATGAAAAGCCAAGTAGGCCTACGCCCTTTGTTTCCTGGTTTATAGGAAACTAATAATTGAAAAAAAAACACAAATGTCAATAGAACTCACTTCAATTTCAATTTGAATAAGGTGATGGTACGTGCAGGCCTACATGGCAATGCAAACAAAGATTCGGTGTATAAAATAGGTTTCACAAAAATGATGAGCTAGTATGTGAAAGCTGTGAACTTTAACACTATCAAAGTGGTTCACCGTCTTTTCATTGATACCATATTCGTATCTCTACAGTCACCAAGCACCAATGATTTCAAAACAACTATTTTTCCAAGTTAGCCTAATTGATGGTTAATTGAGCGGTGAATTGTGTGTTGAATGGGGAAACATAATTTGTTCATAAGTGAAACATGTTGCGTGACTAAAGTAATCATTTCAAAAATTTGTGTTTGTTTATCCTATTTCAAAAGATCCTACGATGTCTGTCTGTCTGTCTGATGTCTGTGAGTCACGTTTTTCGTAAAAGGCCTAAGAAGTGTGCAGAAGCATTAATGATTAATGAAGAGGCTTGGTTATTGTAAGCTGGTACTTAAACGGTATATATATGCACAAATTTCACTGTCCTCTGAAGTCACGGTTGCACGTAAAAAATGATTTATTTGTTTTGTTTTTCTTTTTGGCAAACTTGTTTCTTTCAGACTGTGAATAGTTAAATATTACATCATTATCTATGTGAAAAAAACTCCAAAATGTATCGCTGTTAGGCAAAACAACGTTGATGATGAAACATGTGACAAAATTTGCTTCACCAAGGATTAACTCGCCCACTTTGGGTCAACATGCAAATTGAGGTCAAAATAAACATTAGTATATGACTCAACCCAGCTAGAGGGTGCCGCGCGAAGCATGGCATCCCGCTATTCCATTAAAAAAAACATGTAAAAATACGTAGCTTGGACATCAGCCAAATTTGGCAAGGATATGGCTATGCACACGTTTTGGTTTCGTAGATGCTGGAAAAACCAAGAAAACCAATCATATTCTTGTAGTGTGGTTCCCTGACCCCACTTAAGATGAAATGGAGCAATTTATAGACTTTGGGAAAATGTAAGATAAGAGAATCAGTCTAGCAGGCTTGTAGTCTTCACAGGTGTGTAATCAATTGCAAAGAAAATGCAGACGAACTAAATATGAAAAAAGTAGGAGCACTTTTCAAAAAAAGCCAGTTTTCTCCAACGCTGGTCGGCCGACCAGCGATGGAAAAATACATTTTTTCTTGAAAATGTCAGCACACTAAGAGCCACAACTTTACTGAATGCTTTAGACTGTCAATCCCTAACAATTCAGTAAGATATTTCGTGATAATTTCATCATTTCGTTTTTTTATGTTTGCAAATGTTGTATCTTCCCTTTAAAACGATGGTTGTGTTTAAAATTCCGTGAAACTTGAAAAGTACGTGAGTGATTTGAATAATTATTCTTGTACTAAAAGAAAGCTCATAAAATCGGCTTTCATATGGTAGATTGTGATAGTGCTACATGCAGAACTTAATTAACAAAATTGGTTCTGCCATTTGGGTTTCCTTTTTGGTCTCACTGTAGACTCTAACTTAAATTGGGAGGGAACTAAGTACGTGAAACTAGGCCCTATAGAAATTTGGGTTTTATTTTACCAAACAGCGATCCAGTAAATTGACAAGCGAAACAATTTAGACAGAATGTATTTGGATAGGATATTATGTCTAAAAAGAGGTTAAATGTATACATATACTTTATAACAAAACTACACTGATTTTAATGACGCGACAAAGTCACTGTCATGCCACTAAACAACCTACGTTTTAAAACGAAAATATAAAAACTACAAATGTTAAACATATTGAAACTGAAATCATTCGTAGGTCTATAAAAATGAGTGACTGCTGAGAATAACTTACCCCTATTCATGATCCTTTTCCAAAGAGGGTATCCCAACAGTCAAATCGAGCTAATGAATTTAATCCTCCTTTTAGTGGAATCTGTCCACTCTTCCAAAACATCAATGAAATTCGCGATATAAACTGACAACTGTTCATATATTTCTTCTTTATAGGCTTGTCACTTCAGTGTCAGAAGTCACTGAGATGTTACTGGTACCACACCGTCAGTGTACTGACGTAGTCTTACAGGAAATAGGTTTTATAATTAAAAAGCGGCCGACCGTGCAATTGGTTAATTGAATATAACAAATGCGGGTGGTGATTTTGCGTGAATTTTAGCGGGGGGAAACACAGAGGGAGATATTGCGCCATTTTCAATGGAGTGTTTGAAAATAGCAATTTTGTCATCGTGGTCGTCAATTGTTTCTACCACTAAATGACCTCCAAACTGTGACCGGAACGAACGATAAGGTCAGGATTTTGAATTTCGAGAAATACAATCTGTGTAATCGCAAAAACACGCAAAGTAACCACTGGTTCCATACTAAATAATTCGGATGGTACAACGTCTGAATAAAGCCCCGTAATTTGATTGGTGGGTCGTTGATCACATGTCATTGAGTTATTCGTCTCAACGCACGGCCCAACCGCACGGTAAAAAATAGAAGCTGCATTCCATTCAAAAAATGGAAGTTCCGTTGCACGGTCACATTATTTGTGGCTCTGACCAATCAGATGACGAGGATTATTCAGGTGTATATAAAATAAGAAATGAATGTTTCACACTCGTGCAATGAGATGCTCCACTATTTTTGCCAGTGTACTCACAAACATTAATTAGTTGTGTAATACCTGATGGCTATTCGCTGTCAGCCCGTGATACAGCTCGCGGTTCAGCCTGGCGCGATTCAGCGCCGCGAGTCGGCCAGAAAAAAATGTGGTGGATGGTACCCCGAAGCACACAGTTAATATTCTTTTCATGCGTGCGGGAAGGAGCCTTGCTGATTTCCTTCAACCTCGTGCACACGGGACGAAAGCAATTAATTTTTTTGAGGTTTTATTTTGTGCCCTAAAAAGCCCCACTAAGTCCAGAAAGTAATGCCTATGGCAATTTAAGTTTTTTTTTCAACCCCCCCCCCAAAAAAAACACACGACCAATCCTGGACAAATTAAGAGAAAATGACCCAAACGTACTTTGTTGCCCTGCATCTTTTTAATGGACCGTCCTCGCTTTTTCGCCGCCAGGCCCATTTATGTGCTTTTGAATTTATTAATAAAAAGGTCTATTCTAACAGTGGATTCTTGGATGCATTATGGCTCAGAAATACTTTTTTTACTAAATCGTCAACCTAAAGAAAAGATCAATTCAACCAAAATAAGGCAGTCTTTTACAACGTCGTATCATGCAATACAATTGTTTATTTTACAACTGCATACATTTCACATTAAAACCTACACACAATCTACACAACATCCCAAGACTACAGAGTAATGTTTTTAAATTGGACACACGAAGTATGTATGGACGCGAGAAAATAAAATCATCGCCTCCACACCAGGAATGTTTGCTTACGAAAAAACTCAATCCACAAGCTGCTAAAAGCTAAAAATAAACCCTTGTTTGATTTTCATCTCAGAACGTTAATTGTGCATGCGTTTAAATACATAAGTTACGTGTAGAAAAACCATTGGCGCAACGGTGTATTCTCGGTTACAATTGCATCTGACCTGTCAGTAATATTGAATTACTCGTCAGCTTGTTTGCCATAATAAGATCACAGACATTACTGTATGCCGCAAGCGACGAGATGACATCGCGGAAAAGGTGCATCGCTAAGTTTCCATTCACTTAAAACTTTCTTTTTAAGCCTGAACAACGTTTTTATCAGATTATATCTAAAACAGTCAGGTAAAAAACATCCACAACAACTTTCTGTCGTCACAAGCACAGAGCGCTTTCAAACGTCAGCAAAATACAATTATATTCAACTAATTCAAGAAAGCTGTGAATAACGAATTGATTTGGTGTGACTAAATTACATTATAGCGCACTGCACGGAAAAAAAGTTGATTTCCAAAGGGTTGCATGCACTTTCACTATTCTATAGAGAAAACGCTACATTGACGTCACTCTCCTAACATAAAGAAGTTAAAAAAATCCACGTACTCTTACACTAAAGACTTTTCCACCGTATGGCTCTTTGAACGAGTGGACGTTCCACTCTAAAAGATTGAACCTTCCATTACTTCCAAAGAGTGCATGCCGGACAAGTCTTTTAGAGTGGCTTCCACTCTTTTGCATTTAGTAGAGAAGATAAAATAGAAGCTGGAGTATGAGGCTTACAAAGTGTCGTCATTGAAGCCACTTATGCCTCTCAATAATCCCTTACGATTTACTTTTTCAGTATTCTTATAGTGAAAATCTTATCATTTTGTAAAAAAGCGAAGTGCTTTGGCTCGTCAAAGACGCTGGCTTCAACTGACGATGTTATCGTGCTAGCATGCAATTAGACGTTAATCTTACGTAAACAGCGAGTTTCCCCTCAGAAAGGGAGGATATTATAGCATCACTGCTATTATACAATAAAGAAGAAAAGGTCTATGTGTGTATTGTGTGAGCTTTAACCTCGCATACTCTTTGGGAACCTGTGAACTAAACAGGTCTATAGGGTGCAGGAAGAGTGAACGTTTTGCGGACATGCCCACGTCCACACAAGGATCGCCCTCTCTGGAAAACAGGTTTAGATGCATTTTGGGTTTATAGGGTTATCCTTCGCAAAATGAAGAGGAACCCTCAAGGAAACCATGATAAAAAAATATTGGGTTGAAAGAATGTTCAGAGTGCAAGTAAAATAAGGTTTTTTTCCTCCGGATTTTCTTAACTACATGAATACAAGGGCATGTCCACAGTATAGTGCGGGGTGCTCTTACGAGAACTATACCTTCTGGTGTACTCACACAAAGGGAACAAAGGTAACAAAGGTACCCCACAATTCGGCCTTTGTTAAACGGTACCCCAGAAGGGAAATTCTATAGAAGAGGGTTAAAGGGAGAACAATGTATGTACCCCATAAACCCCACCCGTGAGTTTGTACATGTACAGGGTTACCTTATAAAGTACAAAACATAATAAATAGATAGACCCTACAAAGTCTCTAGAAATCTATTTGCCCAATAAGGGACACGCTATGGAGTTAAATATTTCATTAGGAACAAATGAAAACAAAAGAATGGAAATGAAGGTCTTTCCCATAAGTATATGTATGTAAGGCTACATGGGTGCGTGCTCTAACCTTTAAAATTGCTCTCTGTGGACCTGTGAAAAAAAATAAGTAAACAGAATGCAGGAAGCGTGAACGCTTTGTGGAACTGCACACGTCCACACTAGGTTCCCTGAACAACTTGAGTGGCATTTTTGGGTAACGCACACCCGTCGCAACATGAACAGAAACACTCAAGGAAATCATCATTTAATAAAAATGGGTTGAAAGAGTGTTCACAGTTGGAGTAAAATACTTTTTTTCCCTCCGTTTTTTTAACTACACGAAAACAAAGGAATGTCCACAGTAGGTAAGGCTGTGTTAGTGAGTTTGTTTTTGCATTCAATAGGGGACGTTGAACAATAGAGGACAATAGGATCCACAATTCTCGAAGGTCCCGATTGACGATCGTGTACAAAACGTATAGGAGGTCTTCCTAGGGGGTCCACGATTGAAGGTGTTTACACACTTGGTTGTTTATGAGCTTGTCTTACATACGCAGTGTGGACTTCCGAACAAAAGACGTCCACATAATGTAGGTAGCAGCGACGAAGTGTGGACTTGCCCACGTCCACACGGTGTTTCCCCATTTCTGGAAAACAGGTTTAGAGGCATTTTTGGGTTAGGTTTATGTGTAGCAGAATGAAGAGAAACACTAAAGGGAATCATTGAAAAAAAATTGGGTTGTAAGAGTTTTCACAGTTTGAGAAAAATGAGTTTTTCCGCTGGTGTTCCTTAACTACACGAAAAGAAAGGAAAGTCCACACTAGGTATGTGAAACAAGTCTGTGTGTGTTTGTGGTGTAAAGCGAGGACACACATGTGAAACATCCTTATTGTAAACATGTAATTGAGGACATGAGTCAAATCGATGACGTCCTCGATTAGAAAACGTGTACAAAACCAATGGGAGCTGTTGGAAAACAAAAGTATGAACAAAATATCGATGCTGAGGAACAATAGAAAATCCTCGATTTACACCATAAACAGACGTCTGTGTGCTCGCGTGTTGTGCACGAGTTGCTTGACCGCAAAGCGGGCGCCAGGCGGCGAATATAATTCGTTCGCCATATTATTTCGTGCGCGGCGAAGCTTCGTACTTCTAAATCCCAGAGCGTGTACCAATATTATCATATGTTTTTAATTCGTGAACGTGCCTTAAAGAAACGGATTGCATGGTGTTATTCTTTCATGAACAAGGGCAGGTTACCGCTGATTTGATAAAGTCTAATAAAGTCAAGAATCAGATATTTCTGTCCGATTTTGTTTGACAGTGCATTATAAAAAAAATAAATATTTGCCCAATTCCAGAGTCAGCTTCATCACCGGCTGTAAAATCGGTTGAAACCGTTTTGTTTAGTGCCCTCCGCTTAAGGTTTTGTTTAAACTCCCCCATGCGAAGAACTATGTACGTCTTGATACGCCATACAATTATGGTTTGTATAGACAACTACGGTTAGTAATAAAATCGTGCATTTTCAATGTGTCACAACTGAGATGCTGCTTTGTAGGCCAATGCAAAAGAATGTACATGGTCCCGTGGTTACGCTATGGTCCAGTGGTGACTTTGTCTGACTCATGTACGAAGGTGCGTGGATTCGAACCCTGCCAAGAACATGGTGTTTGTGCCCTTTGAGAGCGCTTTGAGATTGTTGATACGATGGAAAGCGCTATATGCACAATTATTATTAAGGCCTACATGAAATGACGCAACTAAACCAATACGTTTCGTAAGTGGCGTTCCGCCAGCGTAATTTTTATTCCTAGGAGGGTTAGGGGCAATGTCATGAATAATTCATGAGAACGGACAATGACATCAACAGCATTGTTGTTAGATACTCAACTAGTCACAATACATTAAAGCATTTTAAAGAACGGTTGTCGTCGAGCTACCAAACAGTAGCCTAGTGGATAGCGAGATGAGCTATGGATACAAAGATCCCTGGTTCGAATCCACGTCGTCGCTGCTCATTTTCACCAGCTATTTTTCTTCTCCAAATTTATCACTGAGATAATTTTAAATTAAGGGGAAAATAGAACGAGAACCTAAGTCTTGCAATGATTCAAAGGAAAAACTGAATTATTCATGACATTGCCCCTAACCCTCCTAGGAAAAACAATTACGCGTTCCGCCACTGCGCGAAATCGTCTACATGGACGAACTAGGTAAATGACGGGTGTTGTAGAGACTACTTCCCTGGTGTGTCACCTTGAATCTTCGATGTTTTAGTGGCCCAGTTCCCGGACATGGGACCTACACGGTTGTCTATGGACTCGATTGTCGAGGTATGCGCACGGCCTATGGTGAACACCGTCGACGAAGGCGGATTGATAAAACGTATGGCGTACAGCTTAGGTATGTACACACAGCCCACCGTCAAAAAGGCATTTAGCAGCACGGCCAGACATATTGCAGCCACTTTCTGCGAGACATCACGGGCCGTGTAGTACACAGCAATGGCCGCCAGGCACGCCAGTAGAGTCGAGTAGACGCTGACCCCGATGAACTTGGACTCGTTGTAGTTGTCTGGCACCTTGCGCGCCAGGAATGCAAACACGCAGCAGGCCAGGATGAGCACCAGGTTGTACGAGCTGGATATCAGGAAACCGGTGCCGAGTTGGCAGTATAATTCAAGATGGCCGTCTCTGGGAATAGGGATCAAGTACTGTGGCTCACAGGGTCCAAGAGCTGCCGACAAGATGACGCAAAATACCTATCACAATGAAAACAAAAACGAATTAATTAATGAATTCGAAAATTCAGAGAGATATAGGCATAAAATAAACATCAACGATTTATTGAGACTGTGTGTGATTGTTTTTAATTCTTTGTTTTTGTTTTCAAATCATGTATGCATATAGAGCCTATACTCGGTGTTTTCCTCATCCTTAATTTTCTTTTGATTTTTAATCGTGTTATCAATTTTTCACCCGTTTTGGGAGACAGTTGTTGTAAATCACATTTTGTAAAAAAAATTCCCACAAATTTAATAAGGTATTACAACGAATGAGAAACTTGCTGCTTTTCAATCTCCATGCATTGTGCGGGAATTTAAAATACTTATTAGATTTGCTTGAAGAACTGTCACAGAAGTTTGCCCATAAACGAATTTGAATCTGGGAAGTTCTGGCGAAGTTCTGGCGAATTTGAATTCTGCGTGCTCGTATTTTCTGAAATTTGATAAAGTCATGCAATTATAAGATTGAATTTTGCGTTGGGGTGATATAAATCAAATTAGGTTTTGCCCTGCACCGACGTTTAAACACTGTGTACTGTGTGTGTTACCTCCCGAGTGAAAGTTGGAAAAAATCACTCGGGTGGGAGTGGGACTCGAACCCACGACCTCCTGCTTTCTAGTGCAGATGTCTAACCACTCGACCACCGAGCTAACGGGATCGGTTGGCTGGTTCGAATCTCATGCAATGTATATACAAATATTGTTTACGCACAGTGAGATATTTACTCAATTATGCATTCGGGGTATCTACTCGATTCATCTTTTTTTAGTAAGTTGAATATTTATTTCCAACTGTTATTCTGTTTCGCTTCAGGACTGGCTCTTAATTTTTGGAATCGGGCCGGGAAAACCTTATTGCCCCACATCTCTAGAAAAAAACAACAACCGAAGACGTTACTAGGTTATTCAAGTCTCGAGTCGTTATTTTGGAGTACGGGCAGTTATAATCATTGTGATTCAATACAATAGAATAAAGAAAAATACAGGATTTTATGATAACAGTTTTAAGTTGGCTAAAGGCTCTGAGCGTAAAATAAAGAGGGCGCAAAGATTTCAGTTTGACTGTTACTTATTGAAAATGGCATAAAAATAGCGACGTTTCACAATAGCTTTTTATCATCCCGAGGTAGTTTTACACGGAGACCATAACAGTTGGTGTACACGTGCTGTTTGGGTGTGGCACCTTAGAAAAAATAAATTTTAAAATTTAATTGATACTTTTCTAGTATTACATTAATTATGAGCTTTCCAATGAGACATCACACGAAAACTTCGGCTATCGACAAGTAATCAATTAATTAATTTCAACCTTTGAATTAAGAGCGGGACGCTCCTTATTCGTTCTGAATGAAGTGTGCGCAATTTCTGAACTGGAGCGTGCCAGTGACAAAAGGAAGATAAAACTGTATAAAGGCCTGTAAAACAAACAAGCAAATTTATTTGTTACACGACATTATATTTCTTTGAGATTTCATTTGGTAAGGACAAGAAAATCGAAAATTTTGAAAAAGCACGTGTACATTTGTACATTGATAACATGTTTTGTCTCATGATTTTCGAAAGGTTAGGGGTGAACGCCAGACAAAAATTTACCGCATGTAAATTGCAGCAGTTTTATGGCGACCGCCTCTCTTATTTTTTGCGGGATTCCCAAAACACCTCGTTTGTTTGTACAGACTTTCGTTCTCATTTATGCTCTCGACGGACCATTTCGAGACGAAATCACTCGATATGATTTCAATAAGTGCTCCAATTGCTTCACATAGGCATACCTACTTACGAAAGACTCAGTGTCCTTTTGTAAAACAAAAAAAACCAAAAAAACCCAGAATAGCCTGACAATTCAATTTTTAGGTCACTATAGACTAAAAGAACCGACAAGAGAGTATACCCCAAGGTCAGTACATAAAAGGAACGTTTGCTTTTAAACACAGTACCGGTTTCTTCTGTCGGGGAGGGGGGGGGGTTGTTAGTGAGGGTTAGCAGCCTCCGTGAATTGTGATTAGATTGATTGGGCGGATGGGTTCCGGCTGCATGGCATGTATGTTCAATCCAAACATCATCCAAGACACAAAAACAAAGATGAAAGGGTGGAATGCCGTGGATGCTGAATCTCATAACCCAAATGGATAGGTCAACAAGAGAGTTAAGCCAGTTAAGTTTGAATTTGGAATCAAGTGGTTGAGAATTGTAGCTGGGGGATTTTTTTTGCAACGGCTGGACGCTTCAATTGCCGATAATAATATTTTCACTTTTCAATTACATTTTATTTGGTGAATCGAAGATATATATACCGGTACCATTTCTATATTTCGGATGAAATGTTGGCTACAATGTCACCTGATTTATGTGAATCTAAAATATAAAAGGTATACCTAAGAAGAAAATACCTTATTATTCAAAAGTATTGCTAGAGCCTTTCGATTCTTTATGTTGTATTTGGTTTGGTCCAAGCTTAATATTACGATTTTACCGGGCAACTTCAATATGAGAAAAGGAAACTTGGAATGCAAAAGTACTCGGAATGGTCAGTGAATCAACATCATTGCGGTTCTAAAATTTATTTTACGAAAGGGATCCTAAGAAATCGACTCAAAACACCCCGGGAGCACGCTCTCATTATTCTGGGACATTGCACTCTACAATCCGATAAAAACACAATTGGTTTTGAGATTGTCGCATTCTTTCCATAATATCGCCACAATTTGGCTCATTCCACAAACTAAATGCTTTCAATCTTCGCTTAGAGCATTATCACTTTTGAATTTTTACAAACGCTAACAGTCGCACGTTTTGACTGCAAGCCCAATTAATTTAAGTCAACATGATTGTCCGGATCCATACATCACCATCAGAAAGTGTACGTCGTGGTTGGTCTTTGATTGGACAAATAAATGCTTCAGCACTTTCCCTCATACATCAACGTGGAAGCTCCTTGCTATTTTCGGGATGGATATATGTGTCCATTTTTGTTAGATATTTTGAAATATTTGCCCTTTTGTCCCATCCGTGTTTTGTTTCATCCAGATATTGCTTTTAGCCAGGAAACAAATTTACATCAGCCTTTACTAAATGACTCTTAATAAAACAAACTGTCTAAGTTGACACATGATTGCGGAACATCATATGCTACCTTTATATATTTACAGGTTATAGCAGACAATAACACCCTTTAAATATATTGATGCCTGGATAAGCTTTCACGATACCTTGTGCATTGTACGATATTCTCTTGAAAATTGCAGCGCTGAGAATATTGACATTGGCAGGTATTGTTGTGACACGGCCTTTAATGGAAATTGATGGGAACTGAAGGCATGACAGCCTTGAGGGTTGTTAAAGAAAACTGAGTTTGAGGCTGAACTGGCGATACTACAACAAAAAGGAAGAAGACGTTATTACGTTAATCATGTCTCATCAAGTCGTTATTGGGAAAACACGCAGTTTTAATTATTGTGGTTCCACAACATTGGAATAAGTCATTGGAAACGACAAACTTAAATTATAACGACTCGTGAAGGTATAAATGGGAACAGTCTATACACGTTGGCTAAAACTGTGCGTGAATTAAAGAGGGCGCAACGATTTTGGTTTGATCAAAGCCGTATGGAGTACCGAAGTGTGACGTCATTTAGAACCAGAAAGTGTAGTACAAACGAATGGTGTACGCGCGCGTGTTGGTTTACGGGCTGAATAGGGCGCTGATGTCTTTCACACACATTTTGTGCGCGTGACGTTTTCACTTCGGTATTCATAGAGAGTGAATAGCGACGTGATGAGGGTTGCACTGTTTGGAACCAAAATGGCATGTAGGCCATATGTCACCTGTTATATGTGAATCTGAAATATAAACAATATACATCAGGAGAAAATATCTTATATTCAAAAGTATTGCTAGAGCCTTACGATTCTTTCTGTTGTATTTGGTTTGGTCCATGTAAGCTTAATTACTATTTTACAGGGCAACTTCAATATGGAAAAGGTAAACTTGGTATGCAAAAGTACTCGGAATGATCACTGAATCGACAACGTTGCGGTATATTTCACCAAAAGGGTTCCCAAGAAAATTGACTCAAAACACCCCAGGAGCACGTTCTCATTATTCTCGGACGTTGCACTCTCCAATCCGGAAAAAAAGAAACCTATTGGTTTTGAGAGTGTCGCATTCTTTCCATAACATCGCCTCAATTTGGCTCGTTCCACAAACTAAATGGTTTCAATCTTCGCTTAGAGCATTATCCCTTTTGAATTTTTACAAACGCTAACAGTTGCACGTTTGGAATGTAAGCTCAACATTGTTGTCCGGACCCATACATCACCATCAAAAAATGTACGTCGTTGTTGGGCTTTGATTGGACAAATATATGCTTCAGCACTTTCCCTCGTACATCACGTGTAGGCTCCTTGCTATTTATTGGATGGATACATGTGTCCATTTTTGTTAGATATTCTGAAATGTATTCCCTTTTTTTTGTCCCATCCGGATGTAACAAAACACTGCTGCATCCGTGTTTAGATATTCCAGATTTGAACAAAGTCACATTAGGCTTTACTTAATGACATTAAGAAACATATTGTCTTAGTTAACACTTGACACATGATTGCTGAACATCATAAGCTACCTTTATATATTTACAGGTTATAGCAGACAATAACACACTTATATATATTGATGTTTGGGTCAGTTTCACAATACCTTGTGTATTGTACGTATTTCCCTTGAAATTACAGCGCTGAGAATATTGACATTGGCAGGTTTACTAAAATTGTTGTGACACGGCCTTTAATTATATAGATGGAAATTGATGGGAACGAAGGCATGACAGCCTTGAGGGCTGGTTAAGGAAAACTTAATTAAGGCTGCATTGCCGACACTACCAAAAAAGGACCTAATTAGGTTATTCAAGTCTCAAGTCGTTATTTTGGAGAACAATAATCACTGTCATTCCACAGCAATGGAATAATACGGAAGCGTT